TGGTGAAGTGTGCAGAAAATTCTGCCGGACTGAAATTTAGTCTTTGGTGAACAGTCTTCAAGAATGCAAATAAGATTTTAAGTTTTAAGTACCTTTCAGGCTCGCGTGAGGTTTCCACAAGCAACAAAGTCTACTTGAACAAACACTTCACTAAAGTTTAGAAAAAATATACATACAGACCATTACAGTTTGAAGCGAGGTACGTTCACAGTACTCTGGTTTTGTTTTACCGTTATTAATTTTAATTTCAAAGATCTTTTTTTATTATCATCTGTGTCTTTTTTCGAATTATGATGGACCCCTCTGTAGGTTGTTGTGTATGAAGTGTCCTCAGTGCAGAGTTAAACAAGATGGCCTTGTAGGACATACAGGAAATATTTGATATTTATTTGATATATATTTTTTTATATTTGATAACATTTTGAATGTTTGAGTGTATGAATTGTTCATAGTGCCTTGGAGATGTTCTTCGACAGGAGATCCGCTCCAGCTGTGCAGCACGGCCATCAGCATGGAATAATATAGGAATAATATGTCACATAGCCAACAATATGTAGTATACAATGTCAGGTTTATTAGAAATAAACAAACTACAGCAGAGGTGAAATGCAGAAAAGAGAAATAATAATATACAAAACATACCAAAAAAACTACAAAATACAAACAAATCTTAAGATACCAGAATTCATATTTTTAGGTTTAACAGATGCATGATGATATAGTTGAAATATATTGTGAAAAATGCATAACGTTATTTAATAAGACGAACGGTTGTATGTATTATTTGTGTAATTTTAGGGACTAAACTTACCTGAAAGCAATGAAAACAGCAGAGAGAGGACTCTTGCTACTTGTCAGCTGAGTGAGTTGACGCCTCGTTTCCATGGTAACTCCCTACGCTCCAGTTTAAATGCGATTTTAATGCTCAATGTGCGCGCCAATTAAAACACATCAAAGTTACGCATTTACACTTGACTCTCACACTACACAAACTGTTGCATGTCATCCCGGACTACATATCCCATCATCCATTGCACTGATTGCACACAGCTGTAACCATTCACACACTCACTATATTACCCCCATTCAGATCCTTTTCAAACTGCCGAGTATTGTTTAGCACTTATCACTGTTCGTTGCTAGCTACTTTACTGAGCCTGTTTATTGATTTCCTGTTTCATAGTCTAGCCTAGTCCTGTCATAGTTTTGCCTTGCCTGTTTTCCCGTGTTTAGATTATTGCCTTGTACCTGGATTATCTCTCTAGTCTCGCCCTGTTGGATTACGTTCGTCATCGACTGACCCTCGCTTGTTTACCGGACTGCTCTTGCCTTGTCTTCTACATACCAGTTTGCCTGTTTCTGACCACGTCTTTTATTAAAAACTTTGCAAATGGATCCGCTCATCTCACGTCTCTGTCGCCCCATAACAGAAGGCCTACATCAAACTGTAAATTGAATGCGAATATGAAAGCAGTGAATTCAGTGAACATTGTTTGAAGTCAGTTTATATAAAGTATATAATAATGTGCATTTGATCAGATATAACTGCAGTACAAGATTATGAGATGCATTATTTGAATGCTTGGCCAAAGAGATGTGTCTTTAATCTAGATTTAAACAGATATTACCTTTCTGTATGGGAAAACATTGGGATTTTACTCAAAAATATTTGAAATGGATTTTAAATGTGGGTCAAGATCGTCCATACTTATGTGGCCCACATATCTATATTTGACATCTGGGCCAAATACTACATTTGACATCTGGCCCATGTCTTGTGTGTCGTTTTAAACATGGTACCATCTCTGCCAAACCCGGGCCATGTTTGGCCCACATGATGTATGCCAGTGCCGGATGAATGCCAGCTGTGCCAGATGCATGCCAAATCTGGGCCAAATTTGTTTGCTGACTGGGTGCACGTCTCTCGTCCCTGTCGCTCCGTTACAGGTGTCTCATATTTTAGAGCAGTCAATGCAATTTGGGAAAGAAGTCAATCAAATCTGTATGTATGTGAAAATGTTCAGATATAACCCCTTTGTAATTGTTAACATTTTCATATGTAACTAATTTAATTACACATTTATTTTTTTCTCAGTAACTGTAACAGATTACAGTTACATTTATTTTGTAATTAAATTACGTAATTCCGTTACATGTAACTAGTTACTCCCCAACACTTTTTACACCCTAATTTGCAGTACACAACTGTCATGGTTCACAGGTCTATGAGTTCATCCTGCCTTGTCTTGTGTGCTGTTGCTGTCTGTGATGCTGAGCATTGCAGTGTCACTGATGAGCTAATCAGGTCCAGCTGATGCTCGTCAGCGCTGTGGTTCTCTTGTGTGCTGTCTCTCGTGCAGTTTGTCCACAGCTGTACTGTTTATGTGTTGAGGTTCCTGTTTGGATTGCCTTGCAATTTCTGTTCTGGACTATTTTCACTGGACTTTCTGCCTGGATTAAGTCATGCACAGCCCATTGCATTCCCTGCACTGCAGAGGATTTTCTAGCCAGCTATACTCATGACATGCGACTCTCTTGCATTTTTGTGTTGCCTTATTTAATAAACCATTTGAATTGCATTCATAACTGAATCTCAAGCTATTTGTCCTGACATAACGATCTGACCAAAATGGATTCAGCGAGAGCTTCAGATCTAAGATAGTTTCTGTCACAAGGAGGTGATACTTCTTCCAACTCAGTGATTCTGTTTTTATTATTATTATTATTATTATTATTATTAATTTTTTTCCTGACATTTTGGTGTGATATCTTTCACTTGGATGTTATAAGTTGAACTGAGTAAATACAGCTGCATAAAATAAAAACTATGTCCATCTTCATTTCAGGCTACAAAGCAACAAATTGTGATTATTTTAAAGGGGGCCGATTATTTTCTATATCCACTGTATTTGTTGGTTTCTTGAACGGAATGGCCAATCAGAAGTTAGTCAAAACAGACTTACCGCCTCAAAACACTGGAGTTTATTGAACTGTTTATTGAGCTTCTGTGCCACACGCACTGCCTGTTTCCCCCACCTCTGAGCCCACAGACAGTCATAATGAGCCCCGACTACCACCTCCTGCTTCCTTCTCTGATGAGCCACATCTCTGTTGATCGTTTTTGACCAAGTGCTCATTGTATGTTTTTTTTATTTTTTCTCTTCAGCCCTTGTGTTTTCTACTGAGTAATCTGAGGTGGCTGTGATGATAATACTGTTGTTGGGACGAGCAGATCTTTGGGGAACAGCGGTGTGGTAGAATCAACATTGCAGAGTTTTATTCCTGACACATTGGAATGCCAATGATACACATTGAATCCCATTGAATCCCAGTGATACAGTCAGCCCTGCCTTCGATCCAGAACTCAGAAATGCAGGTGAGCAGAACTTGGTTATCCCAGTAGGAGAAGGATCGCTAAAGGACTAAAAGACTGTGTCTTTACTGTGGAGTCGCTGGTCACACATCATAGCTAATTGTCCAGTAAAATCCCAAGCCCATTACTGTTGGGTGGTATGAGTTTTGAAAAATCCTCCTCCTCCACTCTCCTCCCGGTCAGGCTGCAATAGACTACCACCAACCACACCTGTCAAGCACTTTTGGACTCTGGAGGTGAAGGTAATTTTACGGACTTCAGTCTTGCTCATCTACTCAAGATCTCTGTGCTCTCACTCACCCTTCTTATCTCCGTCAACACTCTCAGACAAGCCCTTCCTTCTATCACCCACTCTATTGCTCTGTTGATTCTCACCACCTCGGGCAACCATACAGAAGAGATCAGATTCTTGTTAATAGAATCCCCTCACTCCAGTAGTCCTAGGACATTACTGTCTCACTCTCCATAATCCTCACATGAACTGGCATCAGACTTCTGTTTGTTCCTGGAGTAATCATTGTTATGCTTCTTGTTTGTTGTCTACATATTATTCTGTGTTGCAGGATTAACCTGTAGACCTGTCTAATGTGCCTGAAGAGTACATACACCTGAAGGAAGTGTTCAGTAAGTCTTGGGCTGCTTATCTTCTTCCACATTGTCCCTATGACTGTGCTATAGATTTGTTGCCAGGTGCGTTTCCTCCTAAAGTTAGGTTATATTCACTTTCTGCTCCAGAAAGGGAGGCCATGGAGAAATATATTTATGATTCTCTTGCAGCCAAACTTATTCACCCTTCTTCTTCTCCTGCAGGTGCAGGATTCTTCTTTGTGGAAAAGAAAGAAGGAACCCTGCACACTTGTATTGTCTATCGGGGTTTGAACAGCATCACGGTAAATAATACTTATCCTTTGCTGTTGATGTCTTCTGCTTTCAGGAAGTTGCAGGGGGCTTCCTTTTTCACAAAGCTGGATCTTCTCAACACATATCATTTGGTTCGCATCAGGGAGTGGAAGACCACTTTCAATACCCCCAGGGGGAACTTTGAATATTTGGTCAAGCCCTTCGGGTTGTCTAGTGCTCTTCTGATCTTCCAAGCATTCGTCAATGACAATATATGATATACATCAACCTGGATGATATATTGATTTTTTTCTTTGTCTTTCCAGTGACATGTTCAGCATGTCAGGCGGGTGTTTCAGAGGCTGCTTGTGAATGGGCTTTTTGTCAGGGCAGAGAAACGTTTTTCATGCACAGTCAGTCCCTTTTTTGGGGTTCATCGTCTCGGCCGAGGGGGTGCGCATGGATCCCAAAAAGGCTCATGCTGTGGTTGATAGGCCAACCCCAGATTCCTGCAAGGCCCTGCAGAGGGCTTTACCAGTTTCTACCGGCGTTTTATTCACAATTTCAGCCAACTGGTCACCCCTCTGACCGCCTTGACCTTTACCAAGGTGATGTTCAAGTGGTCTAGTGCAGCTGAAGCTGCTTTCTCCAACCTCAAAAGCCACTTTGTTTCGGCTCCAATTCTTGTGGCCCCTGATTCTGCATGTCAGTTTGTGGTGGAGGTCGATACTTTAGAAGTGGGGATCGGTGTAGTTCATTCTCAGCACTCCCCTGCACATGGCAAGATGCATTCCTGCATGTTTTTCTCTCATCATCTGTCTTCCACCGAATGTATCTATGACATTGGTAACAGAGAGTATCTGGCCATCAATTTGGCATTGGAGCAGTGGCGTCACTGGTTGGAAGGCTTGGGGGTGCCTTTCAACGTCTGGACCGATCACAAGAACCTCGAGTACATTAAATCCTCTAAACGTCTAAACTCTAGGTAGGCTTGGTGGGCTCTCTTTTTCTTTTGTTTTTTTTAGCCTCCAGGTTCTAAAAATATCAAGTCTGATGTCTTGTCTTGTGTTTTTGATCATTCTGAGTGCATATCCACTCCTGAGTCCATTTTGCTGGAATAACTTGTTGTTTCTATGGTCACCTGGGAGATCGAGTCGAAGGTTCGCTCAGCCTTACAAGGGGTAATGCCTCAATCTGGTCACTTGTTTGTGCCTGGGAGTTTACAGTCCAAAATCATCCATTTGTTTCGGCCTGCTCAGTTTGTGCTATTTGTAAGACTTCCAATCGACCCCCGGTGGGACTCCTTCAGCCTCTGTCTTTCCCTTTTGAGACCCTGGTCCCACATTGCTCTTGATTTTGTTACAGCCCTCCCGCCCTCCCAGGGCTACACAGTACCGTGGTGACCGTGGTTGACTGGTTCTCGAAGGCGGCCCATTTAATTCCCCTGGCCAAATTACCTTCTGCCAGGGAGACAGCGGTTACTGTCATTAATCACGTCTTTCACATTCATGGCCACCTGACAGACAAGGTTTCTGACAGGGGACCCCAGTTTGTTTCCAAATTTTGAAAGGATTTTGCAGGTTGGGGGCGAATGTTAGTATTTTCTCTGGTTTTCATCCACAGAGCAACTGTCAGTCTAAGAGGGCCAACCAAGACTTGAAGCGAGTGTTGTGATGTTTGGTGTCTCAGAATTCATCCTCCTGGAGCCAGCAACTCTGATGGGATGAGTACGCGCATAACTCGTTACCAGTGTCATCTACAGGCCTCTCTCCATTTGAGTGTAGTCACACCTGGAGGAAAGCCAGACAGACTCTCCTCAAGGTGGGTGCGCGCACTAAGGCTCAGGCTGACTGCCACCGGTCCAAGCCTTCCATCTACATCATTGGTCAAAAAGTGAGGATTTCTACCAAAAATATTCCTCTCTGCACCGTTTTTAATAAACTTGCTCCCAAATTTATTGGCCTGTTCTCTGTCACTAAGATCCTTAGCCCAGTGGCAGTCCACTTCAAACTTCCTCCAGTGTACAGGATAATTCATCCCATCTTCCATGTTTCCAAACTAAAACTAATTTTTCATTCACCTATTAATCTACCTGGACTTTCTGCCTAGATTAAGTCATGCACAGCCCATTGCAGTCTCTGCGCTGCCGAGGATTTTCTGGTCAGCTGCACCCACAACATATGACTCTCTTGCGATTTGTTTGTTGCCTCATTTAATAAACAGTTTAACCTGTTAACCCGCGGGCGGGCCGGAAGGGCGTGTTTAGGCGTGTCTGTGCTTTTAATTACCTTTGTTTTAAAACAATATTCAATCAACTATCATAAACTTCCCAGTCTCTCTCCTTCAATCACAGGCGATGTTATAACCCAGAACTGAGACGGAGTCGCTGACAGGTTTAGCGAGGTGCCAATCTGCGCATTGCAGTTTTGGGCTGTTTGAAGCCAGCCAATGCCTGCCCTTAGTGAATTTCATTCAAAGATATCGTGAGTCACTTTCATGTACATTTGGCCTGGTTTTACTCTGTTGCTATACTAATTTTGAGTTATTATGACTCCAGAGTAACAAAGGTTCAAGTGTCTAGTTTCAAACAATACCAGATTTATAAATATAGACCATAGGGTTCAAGAGCTACAGACATTTTTATTTGGGTATGTCGTTTTTCAGAAAATGCTCAAAAACAGGGGCGCACAGTAAGTGGTTAAATTGCATTTGTGATTGAATCTCAAGTTATTTATCCTTACAACAACACACAAAGTTTTAAGTGTAAAAGCCTATTCACGCCAAAACAACTATTTGGTGCAAAAATTGTATGATAAATTTTTTTTTGAGTGAGTAACTGTTAATAGGTCTGTTCAGACCAATTAACATATGCAAGCTCAAACTGTTTAGACCAACATGGAAAGTTGCATGTACGTTCAGTGCAGTGGTTTTATTTTAATGAAGAGACACTCTAATATCTTTTATGATTGCACTGCAAATAAAACTGGACAGCCAATAAGATTCACGCTTTTGGTCACATGACTGGAGCTGATGCAGTTACATAGAACTAGTAATTGGTTGCACTCACGAACAGTGATTGTTTTTCTAAACAGTAAATAGCAGAGGGAAAAATCTGGAACTTGCTATTTTTTCTCTGTATTTGGTGTTGTTTGATAAACACAATAATAAATACAAAAATCTGAACAGGACTTTGAAAAAAAAGTAAATAGAGATAATAAAACTGCCTTTTTTGCTATACTATTAAAACAGTGAGCATTTAGCATTTACACACTTCCCATATTTACTTCCTGTGATCTTTGCTTCCAGTGATTTTTGCTTTGCTGATGTATTGAGAGCACTTGGGAGCTCAATCACCTCTGAATAGTACACGAATCGTCCAATGAATATTGGTGAGTGGAATTTGATAATACTATAATATAAGGGGGCTTCGTTTGACATCAGAGTTCGGTTCGATTGGATAGTGTAAATGGTGTATTTATGCATTTACTCACTCGCTTTTCTGAAAAGCATGACTGACGTGCTGCAGCAGAGAGAATTTATATCTCATTTCTGCTCACAGAAAGTGACTCCCGCATTCTTTTGAACCTTTGCATTACAGTCATGACAAATAGATGCATATGCCATTCTGTGTTGGATTTTGGAAATTAATCAAAATTTTCAAAATCCGTAGTACAAAAATGAAGCTAGCAAGCATCCATTCATTTTGCCATCTTCTGCATAGTCGCTACCTAGTAAAAGGGGTAAACAGTTGCCACTCTGATGACGCAAACGTACCGTGGTTCGGAACAACAACAAAAAACACAGTATGAACACAAACCAGTGGGGGCAGTTGGAGGGGGAGCAATCGAACTCAGGTTCGGACCAGGCAATCAAACCAAGTGTGAAGTCACCCTAAGATGGTGGTGTGCACCCACTCACTTCTTGACTTAACCATTGCTTTCCAGCAAAATTAAAGATACTGGTGGACTTTTTTCTTGTCGCAGGTCAAGGTGTTTGCCCCAGCCCGCACAGGTAAGTGCAATGCTGACCGCTTTCAAGGTCCGCTTTCTCAATGCTCCCATCTCCCATGCCAGTCTCTTCAGTGACACTGTCAAGGATTTCACCCAGCAGTTCTTGGCAGTCCAGAAGCAGACGGAGGCCATCAAGCACATCCTACCTCGGCGTGATTTGTCTGCCACCAAGCCTCCAAGGTCAAGCTCTTTGTCTGCCCGTCGCCAAGGGTACAGCCCTGTGGCGTCAACATCTGCTCCACGCCTCGTTCCAAGGATGTAACATTGACCCTAACACAGGATTGTGGTGCAGCCCGCCTCTCAGGGCACTGTTAAGTCTTCTAAGAAGACAGCAAAGCATCCCTGAGATGGGCGACAGAGGGATGGAGGGAACTGTTCTTCCCTAAGGAGTGGTGACACTGCCACTCCCTCCCCTGGAGGAGGACCGGGAGGTCACACCAACAACATCTTATGTTCTGCCACTGGCAAGCGGACAGTGCCTTCCTTCTTAACACTAGAACTACCAAGGCAGTCATTTTGACCATTTTTAAATTTTGAAATGTAATAACTTTGTTAAAATAAAACCCAAATAACTATAATACCCTGACTTTTCCTAAATGTGTGTATATTTTATTATAACATTGCTATTTTATTAAAATTACAAAACACAAAAGAGTTCTGAGTATTTCTACCCTGAATGGCTAAAGCGGTCAAATTGACCGTTCACATTACAGACGGCGTATAATTTCTGCTTTTGTGACTTTTTCCCGCGGTTGAAGATGCACGTCACTGTTGCCTAGCAACTTTTGTTCTAGTTGTTTTTATATTCTATTG